ATACGTACGTACGTACGTATGTATGTACGTACATACGTACATACGTGTATGTTCCAGCATAACTCTGGAACGCCTTGAACAATTTCAATCAAACTTGGTACACAGATGACTTACTCTCTGGAAATAAATACGGTGGGGGTAAGACACCCCTAAAACCCCTTGAAGTGTGTCTTCTGTTAAGATACAGCCTGTTGTGCCTTAAAATTGCTTCTACTGTACTGCCATAAAATGGCTTCTACTGTACAGCGCAGTGGAGTTGCCATGGTAATGGCTTCACAGTCTTCTACAAGGGCGCTCCCTGTGATAAAGGAGAAAATCCAACATTAGAAATTACATTTGGTCTGGACATTTGCCCCCTATAAATTAATTGCTCTGACGATGCTGGGTTATTGGTTAGTTCCTAATAAACTAGATCAGTGTTTTTCAACCTTAGCCAAGATATGTAGACATCCAACTCTCAGAATTCTCCAACCAGCATGGCGTTGAAGTCCACAAGTCTTAAAGTTGTCCTTCTGTAGGCCAGTCAATCTAGTGACACTTCAAAAGTTGAGAGCAGCGGTGAAACGTTTGGGGGTTTCTTCTCCATTTGGTTTGATGAAAATCCCACAAATGCTTGGCTCATAACAATTGGCCTTTCAAATACCACAAGGCTCCAGCTTGTTCTTGTTGAGGCTTACTAATGTGACCGTTCTTCTAAAATTGGTGATATGTTGGTCTGTCTTCCCCCCCACATAATTACTGGAAAGAGTTAGAACTTGGCGAGTTCTTCGGTTTTGCTATCACAGCCATTCTTAACAATTTGTCCCTCCTTCTTTCATATAGTCCTCCTGATTGCATTTTTTCCAGAAGTGTTGGGATTCTGGATCCCCAAATGCCTAGCTGGCATTGCCACTTTGGTTTTTTAGAAAGAATTCTGGGAGTTGTGGTTGCTACACAATTGGAGGTTTAGACTGAAGAAGATGAGTGGACTTTTAATGACCACCCATCTTCTATGCTGAGTTGGCTTGAGGAGCTTCATGAATGGTCCTCTCCTATGCGAACATTGACTTAGAGGCATGTCCCGTTCAGTCAGATAAGCCTGCAGCCTAAGTTCCCTGCCTTTCACAATCACTGCCTCACATTCGTTGCTTGTTTGCAATTATCTCTTGTTTCATTAACAAGTATGGCTGTAGGATTTATAACTTTTCTTTTTTCTAGGAACCTATCAAATCCAGAGCTCCTCAGCTACATTTAGAATACCGATTCTATAAACAGCTTGGCAATTCAGGTAAGTAACAGCAACCAACTTGTAAAGGTAAAGGTTCCCTTTGCACATATATGCTAGCTGTTCCCGACTCTAGGGGGTGGTGCTCATCTCCGTTTCAAAGCCCAAGAACCAGCGCTGTACGAAGACGTCTCCGTGGTCATGTGGCCGGCATGACTAAAGGCCGAAGGAGCACAAAACACAATTACCTTCCCACCAAAGGTGGTCCCTAGTTTTCTACTTGCATTTTTTATGTGCTTTCGAACTGCTAGGTTGGCAGAAGTTGGGACAAGTAATGGGATCTCACTGTTGGGCAGCACTAGGGATTTGAACCGCCGAACTGCCGACCTTTCTGATCGACAAGCTCAGCGTCTTAGCCACTGAGCCACCGCATCCCTAACCGACTTGTAGAACTATCCCAAAAAATTTTTTTTTAAAAAAGAAGTTATTTCAGTTTTCTGAAAAAGTTTTTTTTAAAGATTTTTTAAAAAGTTTATTTCACTTTCCTTGTTCTCACGAGTACAGAGGAAATGTTCCCTGTTTTAGAAAGTGTTTGCAAGAAGCTTAATTCTTGGAACACGCTTTCTTAATAAACCTGGCTGATAACATTATTATTAACCTCTTTCCTATCCCCACTACCCTAATCGTTCGAACCTCTGAAGCTCTTTTCCCCTCCCTCCCCTTAGGCTTTGATTAAACTCTCACCTCTGTAACCGTACATTTTTATTTGTGTATTGATCCTGCTGCAGGTGTTTAAAGATGCTGATGTGCGTTGCCTTTTTAAAACTTCTGGGGACTCTACTAACGAATTGTGAATAATATTTTTTTAAAAAAAAATTCATCTGTTTAAAATGCAATTCAAAGGAAAAGCTGGGTGCATGTTTACAGAAGAGTTTTTGATTTTCTCTCCTCGAGGATTATTAGGACTTTAAATAGGATCTGTGTTGACTTGCAGAATGCTTATTTTCAAGGTACTGCACATGTTCTTCTAGCCCAGTGTTTCTCAACTAAGACAACTTTTAAGTTGTGCGGACTTCAATTCCCAGAGTTCTGAGAGTTGAAGCCCACAAGACTTAAAGTTGCCAAAATCGGACACCCCTGGTGTAGAAATAAACCGTAGAAATAAACCATATTTACCATGTCCAACTACACCACTTTCTTTTCCACTCTTGGCAGAAGGAATCCCTCAGGTCTACTACTTTGGGCCATGTGGAAAGTACAACGCCATGGTCTTGGAGCTGCTGGGCCCAAGCCTAGAAGACCTCTTTGACTTGTGTGACCGGACATTCACTCTCAAGACCGTTCTTATGATTGCCATCCAACTGGTGAGCATCCATTCTGTAGAGACTTGCATTCATTGCTACTATCTTCACGCAACCCTCCAGTTTTAGACCCAGTCCAAAACCTCTCCCGCTCAGTTAACGCATTCCAGCAACCCGGAATTCTCTGAGTTAAGGAGCAGCTGTCAAGGCAGCAGGTTGCTCAATTCTTCCTTCATCATCCTTCCTTGATTTATGTGCCGTGTATAAAATTCCTTTCCTGCCAATCAGCACAAAAACATAGTGGAAGGGAATTTCCTCTTTAACCTGCAAAGTGCCTTTGTTTCCTTATTGAGCTTGCAGAAAGGTTAATTTCAAAAAATTACACAGCACTGATTTTTGAGGGTTGACTTAACAGACTGAACGAACATTATCTTGCTATTAAAAGTTCTAGGCAAAAGAACTTAGGATGTGGGATGTTTTGGTCGAGTTTTTACCACAGTCTGATCAGACTTTCCTGTCAACTCTGAAGCTGGCCTGACTGAGGTTATATTGGAGGCTTCAATGTTGCCACAATGGCGATGAGGAATTTGGGGATAGAGATAAGCTGGGGTTTTCTAGCCAAAACAAAATATTTTCCCCTGAGAACCAAGGTCATTCCCACAGGTGGCTGAAGAGAGTAGGAGTGAACGTTCTAAGCAACCAGACTTGATTGGACCATGTGATTGATTTTTGGGGAAAGGGGAAAACATTTAATTAGGTGAAAACCGCGGGAACCTTTAGAGTCGGTTTTCACCAGTTTGTGCCAATATGATATATCCAATAAACTTGTTCTTTGAGGAATCTGCTTACCTTAAGAGTTCTGTTTGCTATGGGTGTATTACTTGGAACCTTGACGTTTCCCTTCCCTGCCTTCTCTTCCGGCCCAGATTACACGGATGGAGTACGTTCACACCAAAAGCTTGATCTACAGAGACGTAAAGCCAGAAAACTTCCTGGTGGGAAGGCCCGGAAGCAAGCGCCAGCACACCATCCACATAATTGACTTTGGCCTGGCCAAAGAGTACATTGACCCAGAGACCAAAAAGCATATCCCCTACCGAGAGCACAAGAGTCTGACAGGGACGGCGCGGTACATGAGCATCAATACTCACCTGGGGAAAGGTGAAGAAAGGGCACTTCCTGACATATTTCCAGGAAAGGGGAGAGTGGGGATGGAGGATGGGTATCCGCAGGGAAGGGGAGTTCTCATAAATCTCATTTTACCCCCAAATTAAAAAGCTGTTTTCCCAAACGTGTGTGCCCCTCTGAATCACTGTGAATTCATGGCGACTGTCTGGACCAGCCCTGCTATTTTTTGGGCAATGTTTTTGGAGATGGTTTTCTCTGGGAAACTGATCGAAGGTTGAGTCAAAATTTCTGTGGAACTGTTGTATAAGTGCTACTGTCCCTGCAGCTTTGCACCTGCTTTAAGGGAACCTCAAATAGCAGTTTCAAGGAGATCACAGAGGGTATTAGTGTTACGGTTGAAGTGCTCTGCCCAGCCTAAGTAGAAATATTTATGACTGGTGCAAAGTCTCTGCTGGATACAATACAGACTTTACAAGACTCGGTGTTGCAAAGTGTGCAGTGAGGTCTCACACCGACATCCTAAACATCAAGTTCTTTATTCATGGTTCATTGAATAACTTCCAGTTAGCTACAGTCACACAGTAAGCAAAAATATAACCAAACCATAATATATCTCTGTTGTGTAAACATACCTTAGGCTATTTGCTGTCATGGCTGTGGAACCCCCAGAGGTCAGGGCAATCTCTGAATTGTATAGCTAAAGACTTGCTGAATTGTTGAATAAACCTTATTTGAAGTGAGGTGGGTGGGTTTTCCTTGAATCGTTTTATCACCTACTGTCAGAAGCAGGTATCTGGATGGATTCTTTCATAGATGACAAAGATACAATGCCTGTTTATACTTCATTTCTTCATCCTGATGATTATTATTAAGAGCCGAGGTGGCGCAGTGGTTAGAGTGCAGTACTGAAGGCTGATTCAGCTGACTGCTAGCTGCAGTTCGGCAATTCAAATCTTACCAGGCTCAAGGTTGACTCATCCATCCATCCTTCTGAGGTGGGTAAAATGAGGACCCAGATTGTTGGGAGCAAGAGGCTGACTCTGTAAACCGCTTAGAGAGGGCTGTAAAAGCACTACGAAGCAGTATATAAGTCTAAGTGCTATTGCTATTATGTGCTATTATGCTATTATGTTATGGGAGTGAGACAAAATCAAGTCATATATGGTCTACTATACTAGCTATCTTAGCTGGGTTTACATCAGGCTCTCCATTCAAATTCTGGGTTCACAGAGTACACTAAACCAATCAAATCATTTCCCACCTTGCAATGATTTGCAGTATGAAGATCCAATCAGAAGCATTAAAAAAAACACAATGTTATTGAAAGAATGCTCTGGATTCATTCAGATTTTTTTGTCATCTTCTGTGTAGAACAAAGCCGAAGAGATGACCTGGAAGCCCTTGGTCACATGTTCATGTACTTCCTCCGGGGGAGTCTGCCCTGGCAAGGCCTCAAGGTGAGTCCTATCTCTGGAAAAATAAAACAAATTTAAATGAACCGAATCTAAGCATTTGCATGTTTTCCCTTTTGCTACTGTATGGATTTACCCTCTGACTATTGCGTTCTTCAATATGCGGGGTCCTTCTTGCTTTCTGTGCTTGGTTGCTTTCTTGCAGACATTTCATTACCCAACTAAGTAACATCATCAGTGCTAGTAGGCTGTGGGGTTTGCTCTCGATTTATATTCTAGTTTTTCAGTATGTTTTCCATCTTTACTTGAGTAATGTCTTGTAAGCTAGGAACTTGGACATACTATTTATGATTCCCTTTGTAAAGAAAGAGCTGAGGATGTTAAATCTCTACTCCTTTGATCAGAATAGAATAGAATAGAATAGAATAGCAGAGTTGGAAGGAGCCTTGGAAGTCTTTTAGTCCAACCCCCTGCCTAGACAGGAATTCCTACACCACTTCAGACAAATGGTTATCCAATATCTTCTTTAAAACTTCCAGTGTTGGAGCATGCACAACTTCTGGAGGCAAGTTGTCCCACTGATTAATTGTTCACACTGTCAGGAAATTTATCCTTAGTTCTAAGTTGCTTCTCTCCTTGATTAGTTTCCACCCATTGCTTCCTG